GTAGAGGAGCAGAGATGTGCACTTGGTAGGTGGTAGGTGGTGGTAGAGGGATAGATAGTGAAAGATGTAGAAAACGTATTTTTGCCCAACAATGGAAAATGTAAGTTGATATGCATGAGGTATGACTTGAATCATTGTTTTCTTGCTGCAGGACCCATCCAAGGAGATACCCCAGCACACACCTCAGGCAGATGCAGATGTTCCCATGGAGGAGCAGAGCAGCGCGTTTTTAGTAGATAGACAGATGATAGGTAAAAGGACAAGAGAAACACGTGTTTTATAAATAAATGTAAGTTGATATATCAGAGGTTGGAACTCAATCAGTGCCTGCTGCAGGACCCTTCCCAGGTGCCCGAGATCCAACCTCCTCAACCTCAACCTGAAGAGAAACAGGTGGAGGAGCAGAGTAGTTCACTTGGTATGTGGTAGGTGGTGGTAGAAGGAAAATGAAAGATGTAGAAGACGTGTTTTTCCCAACGAAAAATGTAAGTTGAAATACAAGAGGTATGACTTGAATCCTTGTTTTCTTGCTGCAGGACCCATCCAAGGAGATGCCCCAGCACACACCTCAAGGAGACACAGATGTTCCCATGGAGGAGCAGAGCAGCGTGTTTCTAGTAGATAGACAGATGATAGGTAAATGGACAAGAGAAACACGTGTTTTATAAACAAATGTAAGTTGATATATCAGAGGTAGGAATTCAATCAGTGCCTGCTGCAGGACGCTTCCCAGGTGCCCGAGATCCAACCTCCTCAACCTCAAGAGAAACAGGTGGAGGAGCAGAGTAGATGGCAGATATCAAGGGTTTGATAAATGTAAGTTAATGTGTCAGAGGTCTGGATTGAACCAGTGCTGTCAAGTATGTCAAGTTATTTTTGGTTGTATCCCAGCATGGTGCCAGGATGAAGATGACAAAGTAGAGATCATTTCTGTCCACGTACCAAGCAGACGTCGCCCACAGCCCTGGCGTTTGCCAAGTGTCACGACTGGCGGCAATTCTGCAAGCAGTGTGAGTCAATCGCAGCTCAGAATGATACGTCTCCAACGCCGTCGTGAGTATTTGCTGCTTCGTCCTTACCCAGACAATCCACCGGCAATGAATGAGCTCATGCACCTAGGACACATTTTGCATGGGTTAACCAAGTTGCTGCGATTGCTTTGTACCAGCCGCCCCTGGACAGACTGCATTTTTATCATGGTGGATCCTACACTTGCAGAAAAGGACTATGAGTTTGCAGCTTGGGAGAGCAGTGCTGGAAACATCCTGAGCATCCTTGCATCGGAAACACACTGGGCATTGCTAGTGACTAATTTCTATGCTGGGGCCTCGGTTCTTTTTGATGGAAAGTCCAATGCGGTTATTCGAGAGAAAGCTATGCAACACCATGAGTATTTCACTCGAAAAGGCTATGACCTGTCATTTGTTGATGCTGACGTGCCAAAACAGCAAGATGACTGGAGTTGCGGACATCGTGTGTTGTTGACAGTCAACTGTCTCTTGAAAGAACTGACGAGGAAGGATGCTCGGAAAGAAGGTTTCCCCATTGAGATTCCTCCTGAATGGGTGTGTGCTCATGAGATGGAGAAGCTCTTAGCTTATTTAACTTCATGCCAGACGTGGCAGATGCCACAAGAAGAGCCACTGCCTTTGTCTCCTGTGAAGCAAGAGCCATCGTTTGTAGCCACCAAGAAGGAACAGCCCGCAGAGGAGGCAAAGCGGCCAGGTGTGAAGAAGGTAGAGAAGCTGAAAGCGCTACCTGTGAAGGCAGAGAGGTCAGCAGCACCTGATGCACCATCCCTGGGACAGAAGCCTGACATTTCTTCTGCTCAAGAGTTGAAGAAACCAAAAGTTCAACTTGTGAAGGCAGAGAGGCCAACTGCTCTCAATGCGCCATCCCTTAGTGAAAAGGCTAGCACTTCGGGCAGTTCTTGCGCGAAGGGCCTCGGCCCTGAAGCAAGAGCATCCGCGCCTGAGCATGCTGAAGCAAGAGCATCCACGCCTGAGCGTAACCAGAAGATTCAAGAGGATATTGACATGGCCAAGCTGCAAGAGGAGCAGCTCACCAATGGCATGCGTCCACGAGGACGCCCGAGGAAGGGTACACAGAAGGAAGAACATATTCTCAAGACTTGGCTGGCAAACAACAGGAAAGGCATCTACCAGGAGACCGAAAATTCAGAGACAAAATTTGTGTACTTTTGCGTTCCTTGCCACAAAGATGTTCAATTCTACCGGGATGCCATCACCTACCTGCGCCTGCATGAGCGTGATTGTTGTGGCCATCATAAAGGCTTGAAGAAAATGGGCCTGAATGTTATCGGAGAGGTGGTGGAAGTGACACATGCTTGCACCGGAGTTTTGATTCAAGAATCAACATGCGATCTTGGAAAATTGTTGGGGAGCCTGCGAATGTGGATGTCAGTCGGTCAACCATCATTAGCGCCTGCCTATGGTAGCGCGAAGGTTTTGCTGGAGGAAGGCTGCTGGCGGTCAGCGGGCGATGACTTCTTTGTGAGGCACAAAGACTGCAGTGGACACAAATGTGTTAGCCATTGCGATTTGTGCGAGCAGTTTGCAACACGCCCCAAGATTTCTGCAGAGATTGCACAGTGGGGATATCGCATTGACTTAGTCACCCTTGCGCACCACATCGCCTATGGAACAGTGCAAGATAGGAGAGGGCAAGAAGATTTGATGCGGTCAAGAGACTATATGACTTCTGGTATGGCAGGTGCCGATTTCGAGAGCCTCATGAAGCGCAGCGACCGCAACATCATTTGGCATGTGCGCAGGTTGCTGGAATCGATTGCAGTTGCCCGGCGAAACACGGCCTATCAGGATTTCATTCAGTTTCGAGTGCATGGGCTTGCCGACTTCCAAGCCCCTGAGAATGTTCAGAAAGATGTCCTGGCCGGCTTGATCAAGAAGTACCAGGCAGCATTGGAAGAGGGCACTTGCTTGCAGGATGTCACGCCCTCAGTCAGTCCGGACACTGAGTCACTGTGTCACTGTTTCAGTTTTATTTGGTTTATATATTTTGGTTGTTCATTTTCAATTTTGTTGTGGATCCAGGATTTTCGGCTGGCCAGTATGGTTGCCAGTGGAGAGCTCCGCCGTTCTGGGGGAGCCTTGCTGGACGCACTATTCAAGTCTGCCATGTTGCGCGTAAACCGAAAGTGTGAGCTGCGGCCTAACTCCTCCAAGTATTTTGACAATGAGTTGTCCTGCGAACTGCTGTTCACACTTGGTCGTGGAAAATGCTTGCGAGAGATGCTGAGGCGCGCAACCTTTTGATATCTTTTGATAACTTATCAAGCCAATTGATTTCCTGAGCAAGTTTTCTTTTCTTGGTTGTTTGAAGATCTCTTTCAAGTTTTTTCCGTTCCTTTACCAGTGCTGATTTCAGGCTATTTGGTGTGAGCGAGGCTGTCATCCCCAAGGTGGAGCTTCAGAATCCATTGCTCCCTCAACCATTCGCAGCTTAGATATGTTAACCCAGGCCTTTGAGAGTCTCAAAACTGTAAGCTGAAAGAGGTCTAGCTCAGAATGGATCAGAGAAACCAGTAGTTTGCGCAATAACCAAGCCTAGACCTTTACAAACTTAGGGGAACTGCTTGGGTGAGGGGGGTTTTGTCCTTAGGTGTCTCATAAATGTAAGCTGGCAGGGCTGTGGTTCAAGGTAAACCAAAAAAAACAGTAGTTCAACTCCTGTAGAGCCTGTTAGCATCACACTTGCCAGTC